TTTAACCGTTTATGTTTACTTAAGTGAAATTATGTGATAAATGTGCTTATTATGAAATATTGCTAAGTGATTCATTGTAAAATGTATCTCAATTGTCCCTCGCCTTCTAAGTTGAGGGTGTACTTTATCACACTCGGCTTAGTTGAGTTTGAAGGTTATTGACCAAATGTTACTGTAAGTGTGCATGAATGTAAGCCGTATGTGTACTTTACCACATCGGCTGAACTGGACCCCAAAACCCTCTGTTCAACGGACTATTCGAGCCAACAAAGGGTTTGGTCGGATAGGACGGAAGCTTTGGGTAACTGTTTCGGTATACTCAAGTATTACCCTGAAGTTGGGAGATTATTGAACTAATTACTGAATGTAAGAGATTGTTTATTGTTTTGGAGGACATAAGGAGGTGAATTGGCGGAGTGTGCAATGATATTGAAATGAATGCACAATGATATTGAAATGAGTGTCTCATGACACTGAAATGAATGTACAATGACATTGAAATGACTCTCAGGAGGAGTTCGTATCCTTTTGAAAGTGATTATACAGTGAAATGTGCACTACTTGTTTAATTTACTGGTTTAAGTGTTTATTGAATGTTATTTGTCCGGAAAACCTCACTGAACTTTAGCTCAACCTTTTAGCTTTGTTTTCCTTACAGGAGTTGAAGTTTGAAGGACAACCAAGTAGAGTTAAAGTGTTTTGGGAGGTCTAATGTTATATATTGATGTTAAGACCTGCATTTTGTATCTCTTAATAGATAGATTTATATTTTACACTAGTTGGTGATGTACTTAAGAATGAGCATTTGGATGATTTACTTTTGTAATTTGTAGTGGACAAAGCTTTTGTCTTACTAAGAAGTATTAAGAATGGATGTTTGGATGATTATTGAGAAATGTTATCTCTGAAGTTAATGTGAGTGAGTCTGTGACGCCCCTACTTCTCCCTAGGGCGAACCCAAGGGTATCCGCGAAACGCCTGCCCAACTCTCGCCGGGACTCAATACGAATCCAATTCAATCTTAAGGATAAACAACCAAAGAATAATAGTCGAAGTAAAGAAAAGTTGTTTCCTTAAGTCAACATTCAAATCTTACATCATAGTTATCAAAATTACATCATTCCCCCAAAATACAACCACTAGAAGTCGACTAATCAATTACATCCCAAAATACTAATCAAAAGTAGTCAGACCGGATTCTCCAAAATTCTTTCCATTCCAAACTCCTGTTAAGGAAAACAAAACTAATGGGATGAGCTGACGCTCAGTGAGGCCAAGAAAACATGCAAACACATAGTTCAAGTAACAATGGCATTTGTACGAGAAATAAAACAAGGAAGTTCAAATAACTCATAAATAACATTAACACACTTAATAAGGATACATGAGCTCTCAGGAGTTAGATTCCACTTGCTTCGCCAAGGCTCGATCAAATACCTTCACGGGATGACACTCCGTCAAAACCGGGTAGGTATTAAGTCCGTAGAACTCCACTTACTCTACATTCCCGTTCACCGTTACACTCCCTGCTCCGGGCCCACACTTCTTTTATAAAAGACACTATTCCACGAGTATGCCAAGCGAGATCTCTTAATAGATCAAGATTTTGATTATCTCATGGTTCACCGATCTTCTCGACCAAGCCCATGCTGGCTCAAGTCGTAAAGTCGGCCAATTGAGATTTGGGCGTCCCCCGATTTCTATTATGAGTCGATGAGATTCACTCCAATCGACAAATACAATTATAAGCCGATGAGATTCACTCCAATCGGCAAATACAACCACAATTATAATTTCAACTATGAGCAATTCAATTATATAATCAATTAAAAGAGAACGAGTGCGATAAAGTATACACTCGACTCGACAATTGCAAATCACTTAATCTATAAGAAGCAATTCACATAATTGGCAACTATTCATGCACTTGACACTCACTAATTCAAAACTAATGAGTAAGTACAAAATAAGATCTTTAGTGGTCAGCTCCGAGATTCTCTTTAAGATCCTCTTGAGTGTCTGAAGAAATAACAATTATCTATCACTCACAAATACTTACAAACCCCTTGCCAAACAAGGAAGAATGTACACTTGCGTAATACAAAGACAATGTCTTAAAAGAGCTTTAATATCTCGAAAATGGAGATTCAAAAGTGAGGATTTAAAGTCATAATAGAAACTTGCATCTTCCAGGAAAATGAGTTTAAAACGGATGATCGATATCGAAAGACTATGAAAAGTTCTCAAAAACTCATTTCCCAAGAAATCATGAATTTTCAGCTTTGCGCGATAAATTTGGTAAAATCAGATCTTGAATTTGATAAGTCCAAAAATGGAAAACTTTATACCGTTGGAAACTAGATTTAAAGTACTAAAGGTTCCTAGAAGACATTTTTCCAAGATTCCAAACAGAAAAAATTCATTTTTCAGCTCAAAGTTGCTGATTGAAGAAGGTAAGACAGAACCAGTCTTGGTTTTCGGCGATATTTGGAAATTCGGAAAAATTCACAGAAAGGGAATCAGCCCTTGAAATTCGTAACAAAATAAGAGTTCCAAACAAGGTTTCAAACACAAAAAGTGGAACTAAATTCGGAGTTTTGAGCAACAAGATGTAACAGTTTGAAGTTGGTTGATTTTTGTAATCTGATTAGTGAATTTCCAGATTTGAAGAGCAATCTTTGGGGCATTATTTGAGAAATGAAATGGTATTGACCAAATAGGGACTACTTCTCTATAAAAATTCAGGTAAAAAATCACATGGGAAGGCAGTTAACGAAATGACCAAAATTTGGGAAAATTTCAAAGCTAATCTGCCAACCGTAGTTCTCTTCCTTTCTCAAACGTTTTGTCCAACACAATCAGCCCCAATTCGTCCCAATTTTGAAACCAAAGTTCCAGAAACATTTAATAAGCAATTGATGGTTAAGTGACACTCAAAGTTTCGAAATATAACATCCCAAAACAGATTTGACCATTCGGTCAACAAGGAAGGAAAAGTTTCCGGTTTCCAGCTTTGTTGCGTTTTCGAAATCAAGCCATATCTAACTCTATACAAACTCAAATTGAGAATGGTTGGTGGTGTTGGAAACTAAGTTCAAAATGACACAATTCATCAGAAAACATTGTTTTGAAAATCTTTTCACAAATGGGATAAAATCAAGCCACAAAATGCAGCTTCTAGTTTCATTCGTACAAACAGTCAAACATAACAGCCAACTTTGCCGACTCACTGCGGTTCACTCAAAATGAACCAGCAGGGGATCTTTATACCATTGGAAAGCTATTAACAGTGAGGATCATCAAATATCTATCACACCGAATGAATATTCAAGGGAACAGGTAAAATGCTAGTACTTATTACTGCGTTCAACTGGAGTTTCATAGTTTTCTGAATCTCGTGCTGACCTTTAACAGGAGTTGGATGACTAAATATTCATAGACTTCCGGAGGAAATGGACTGGGGAGATAGAATTTGTAGAGAAGGAGACACAGAATCTTATCAATGAGGTAAAGCAATAGGACAAGGAGGAGAATTTGAACTAGTAATTGTGGGCAAAAGGAGATTTCCACCAACAGTGCTTGCAGAGCTGGAAGACAGCCGACCTAAATTTGATGAGTTGGGACATGTTGGAGGCCTGATATATTCTTTGGGAGAAGCCGTAAAATGTTCTCTGCTTGTTATCCAGCAAAATGATTCTGTTAAAGATAACAAGATACCAAAATCAGAGATGGCTTTTGTGGTTTGTAAAATGGTTTACTTGGGAGTTTTGAGCTTGTATATTCGAAGTACTTCTTAATTAAATCGAAGGTTAATTGTGATCCTTTATTAAGCTTGAATGAGTGAGTGAGTCCTGACGAGAGTTGGGCAGACATTCCGCTGATACCCTAGGATTCGCTCTGAGGAGAGGTGGGAGCGTCACAGTTGGTATCAGAGCGCTAGGTTCGAAATACTTGGAATAATGTTAGAGAGTTCTTAGTCGTGAACTTTTGGCCATAGAAATCCATGATAGACTTTAAGTTAAATTTTTAGTTGGTATTAGTGACTATAAGGGTTTGACCTTTAGTTTTGTGGGTTATTTGTACGATATGGATAGCAGCAGTGATGATGATAGTTTTGACAGACCTCTCCCCGTGATTCCACAATGGAGGGTTGGAGGCGGACCCCTCCTTCAGTGCTCACCTGCTAGGCAGGGTAGGACGTGCCCATGCCGAGGGAGATTCTCCTGCCCTAACCGCTCGGCGTTAGGGGTAGCCGAGGAGCGGAGGTAGTTGTCTCGTGACCTCAGGATAGTACTAGCTGAGAGTGAGGAGATGGAGGCCACTATGGAGGCCCAGGCTGTCCGGATCCAGGAGCTAGAGGCTAGAGTATTTGAGAAGTGTCAGAGGGCTAACGCCTCCCATGCTCGATTTCAGGAGACCGAGGGGCGCCTCATTCGGATGGTCGAGGAGGCGAGAGATCGCGTGGATGGCATTATGACTAAGTGTGTAACCATGACCGAGCACATAGAGGAGGTCATTGGGGAAGGTGGACCTGGGGATGTTGCTCCTGTTGTTGAGGTGGAGATGGAGCCAATGGAGGACCCCGAGGAGGACCGTTCTGAGGTTGTAGGATCGACTAGTTCGGTTCACTGATATTAGTGATCTCCCGACTTTTGATTTTTGCTAAGGACTTAGTAGGGGTGATTCTCGCCTTGAGACCTTTTGTATTTTGTGCATGTACCCCTGTATTTTGAGGCACTTGGATGCCTATGTCCTGTATTTGATATTATTGACTCGTTGTATGCACTCTTGACGTGTGACATGACTTCTAGCTCATGTAAAAATCTATGCTTTGATTTTAACGTGTTCTTGCAACTTGTTTATATTTTAAAATTTCTATGTTTATTTCTTCCTCTTTTAATTATGCGCTTAGAATCTTGCTATATGGATCCGAGAGAGGTGAGGGATCTGCAACTGGTCCAAATCGAAACCCTAGGAATGAAAGGAATGACCAAGTGGCTATGACGCTTAACCGCATAACGAATGTCCTGGAGCGTTTAGCTGAGAGCCAAGACCTTGAGCCAATCAACCAACCTAGAAACCAAGAGAAGGGTGAGAATGGAGCTTTAGACCGATTCCTGAAGTTCGCCCCACCTAAGTTTCATGGAGGTTCTGATCCCGAGGTAGCTAAAAATTGGTTTGAAAGGATGTTAGAGATTTTTGTTACTTTAGATTATGCCGAGGAAAGGTAAGTGAATTTTGCCGTTTTTCAGTTTGAGGGAGCAGCCCGCTCGTGATGGAATGTTGTTAGGGCAAAGTGGGAAAGAGAACAAACTCTCTGGAGTTGGGCCAACTTTGAGAGGGAGTTTATTGTCAAGTTCCTCCAGCCAATGACAAAAGAAAAGAGGGAGGACGACTTTATTAAATTGAAGCAAGGGTTACTAAGTGTGGTCGAGTATGAGGAACAGTTTACCAAACTTTCCAAATTTGCCCTTGAGCTAGTGATCATGGAGCGCAAAAGGATAAGGAGGTTTATTCAAGAGTTAAAAGTAAAAATCCAAGAATCGCTAGCAGCCGCCCAGATCGCCACTTTTTCCGATGCTTTGGATAAGGCACAGAGGGTAGAAAATACTAAGTCTCAATCTAAACCTTTTCACGCTAGAAAGAGGGGTAATCCAATCGATACCCCTAGAAAGTCCGAGAAATCTACCCAACCCCTTAATGTGGGAAGAGGGGCTGGAGGAGTGAGGATGCCCGAAAAATCTGGAGAATCAGAGTGGGCGAGATCAGCAAAAAGGGAAATCTCAAACCGGTCAGGCCGTGACTCCTCACGTAACTTGTGGATACTGTGGCAAGTTTAACCATACTGAGGCCGAGTGCTGGAGAAAGCAAGGAAAATGTCTGATCTGCAGTAATGGCGAACATCAGGTTTCAAATTGCTCTAGCGCTTCTAAGAAAGAAGGAAATACTCAGCAGCTTGCTAGATCCGCTGCAAAGGAATCGAGTGCCAGAGGGAGTGGTTAATGCTAATGGCTATAAGAGGGATCCAAGTAATGGGAGTTCTACGAGAAGGGATGGATCTGACTCCACTTGGGAGATAGGGGTTATGGTTATACCCTAGTCTAGACTGACACTTTTAGAGGTTGTAATCTTTTGTGTAAGGGATGAATCCTTTTGTTGTTTTTGTATATTTGTAACTTGACACGTTTTGCTATGATCTTGTTGTTCCCCTTTTCTTTTGAAATAATTTGATAAACCTATCCTAATTTGATGTTATTATGATCTTTTATAACATATGAAAATTTACTTTACTTTTAATTGATTTTATGGTTTATATGTATATTTAATTTATTGCCCCGCACCTTTAGACCTGTATAGTTTTGGGTCATAACTTTTTGTCTGGGAGTTCAAATCAAGTGCCGTTTGTGGCATCTGAAACTAGACTCCGAGGGCTTTTCAATGGTATAAAATGCACTTCCTAATTCGTTTCCTATGATCTGTAGTGAACCGGCAAAAATAACTGATTTTCCTCACTACTTTCATACGAGAAACTAGCCTAGCTGCAGTTTGTAGATCAATTTCACCTATCTTGCTAAACGAATTTTAAGATAGTTCCTTCTAGTGAATTGTAGAATTTTGAATCCAGTTTTCAACGCCGCAAATCACACTAAATTTTGAGTTGTGTAGCTTTAGTTATGATCAAATTTTGAAACTCTATCAAGCCTTCAAAACTAGAAATTTCGTAAGCAGGTTCCAAAAATCAGTTTTCTTAAAATCATTGTATCTTGGTGTAGAAAGGTCCGAATTGAGTTTAGTTTGTTGCATTTGAAACTAGTTTTGGAATTCTATATGTGGTATAAATTTCAAGGGTTGATCCCATTTCTATGAATTTTCAAAGTTTACTGAAATTGCAAGCCTGTTTTGCTCTGTCCTGTCTGGAATAGTGAATTTGAGCTAAAATTTGAATGATTTCGAATTGGAGTTTGAGAAATGTGTCTTCTAGAGAGTTTTAGTGCATCAAGTCTAGTTTTCAAGGGTATAAACTTTCCAATTTTCAAACTTGCGAAACTCAAGATATGATTTTTCCAAGTAGTGTCGCACCAAACTGGAAATTTTCTGGTTTCAAACAAAGAACTCTTTTAAACACTTTCAACCTTCTTTTGAGAATGTTAGTCTGTTTTAAATTTAATTTCATGGTTGGACACAAGGTCCCTTCGAACTTTAAACTTTCATTTTGAATCTTGGTTTCCAAAAGATTAAACCTCTCTTGATGTGTTTTCTTGGTTGCTTAACTTTCTTGGTTAATTACACCTCATTTTATACTTGAGAAATGGATTTCAAACCCTAGTCTTATGCCCTTGATTTCCATGAGTTTGAACTTTTAAAAAGGAGTGTTTTGACTAGAGTAATCCTCGGAGAATTTCACTAGTTTTATACTCGAAACATGGAACCTTTAGCTTTGACATTTATTATGAAAATGAGTGGAGTTTTGGATGAGTTTTGACTCCATTAGTTTGGAAAATATGAACGTTCTTTATATTCTAACTTTTGGACATGAGATTAAAAGTTTTGAGAGATGGAAACCATCTACCCCTTTTTCTCAATTTTTGTGCCGAAAGTAAATATACTACTTTCTTTTTGGAAATTGAGATTTCTTATCACGACTTGAATCGAAAAACAACCTTTAAGTTCTCTTTGAGCATTATTTCAATGATTTAACGAGAAAAGCTCCTTTAACTTGACTCGACTTGTGACCTTGAGAATGGGTAGCAAGAAAATATTTTTTGTTTATAATCTTGGTCGAGTACCTAGATAATCATGATTGTGCATGTCTCAGGTGGTCACGAGGACGCCGAAGAGCTCATCTGACTTCTTGCTTTGTTCTTGTTTTGCTTTGAATTTTGATGAGTGTCAAGTGCATGTTCAGTGTTACTATGATTGAATTGCTATTTGTACAAGTGCTATATAATACATGAACTTGTCGAAGCGAGGATGTACTTTACCGCCCTCGTCCTCTCTCTCTCCTGATTATATGATACTTGTTAAATAAATATATATGACTTGCATTTGTACATGAACATGTTTAACTCGTGAGCACTGAGCAGAAGCATGTACCACACTCTATTCGGGTGGGAGGTGCCTCTCATACCGACTCAGTGCTATGATTGATCCTTTGAGCGGCAACATGTACCACACCCTATTCGGGTGGGAGGTGCCTCTCATACCAACTCAGAGCCATAAACAATTCTAAGTCGATTGGAACGATGTTTCGTTGACCAATTATTTCTTGTGGGGACACCCCAACCCATTGGCCAACCTCATAACTCGGGCCGGAAAGGGTTTGGTCGAAAAGTTTGGTGAACCATGGGAAATTTTATTGCTTGATCTTTTGAAATCTTGCTTGGCATATTCGATTAGTATTGCCACCTTATGCGTGTTTGGTTCCGGATCCGAAAGAGTGTCATGTTGGATGGAGGAAGTAAGTGGAGCACTATGGTCATGTTTCTACTTGAGTTGACGAAGAGTCAATCCCAAATGGCTTGAATCGGTCGAGACGTGGAAATAGCTCCTGAGAGCTCCCGTATCATTCCTTGTGTGTTTATTTCCAACTTGTGCACTTAAGTGAAATGTTATGTTTAAAAGTTGTTTAAAGCATGTTATTCGATTAATTGGTCCTACGTGCTTACTTGTTTTCCTGGACTCACTAAGCGTTAGCTCATTCCTTTAAGTTTGTTTTCCTTAACAGGCTTGGGAGGTGGATTGAAGGTTATAGACTAGTGACTTTTGGTGGAAGCAAGTATGCTTCTGTAAGTTATTAGAGACCATTAAAGTGTAAATTTTGTTATACTTGGGTTTTATGGTTTGTAATCATAATGGTTTACTTAGGAGTTTTGAGCTTGTATATTTGAAGTGCTCCTTAATTAAGTCGATGGTTAATTGTGATCATTTATTAAACTTGAACGAGTGAGTGAGTCATGACGAGAGTTGGGCAGGCGTTCCGCTGATACCTTAGGGTTCACCCTAGGGAGAGGTGGGGACATCACAGTTGGTATCAGAGCGCTAGGTTCGAAATACCTGGAACAGTGTTAGAGAGTTCTTAGTCGTGAACTTTTGGTCATAGAAATCCATGATAGACCTTAAGTTAAATTTTTAGTTGGTATTAGTGACTATAAGGGTTTGACCTTTAGTTTTGTGGGTTATTTGTAGGATATGGATAGCAGCAGTGATGATGATAGGGTTGAGGGACCTCTCCCCGTGATTCCGTATCGGAGGGTTGGAGGCGGACCCCTCTTTTGCTACTTACATGTTAGGCGGGGTAGGACGTGCCCATGCCGAGAAAGATTCTCCTATCCTAACCACTTGGTGTTAGGGGTAGCCGAGGAGCGGAGGCAGTTGACTCATGACCTCAGGATAGTACTAGCTGAGAGTGAGGAGATGGAGGCCACTATGAAGGCCCAGACTGCCCGGATCCAGGAGCTAGAGGCTAGAGTACTTGAGAAGCGTTAGAGGGCTGACGCCTTCCATGCTCGGTTTCAGGAGACCGAGGGGCGCTTCATTCGGATGGTCGAGGAGGCGAGAGATCGCGTGGATGGCATTATGATTGAGTGTGTGACCATGACCGAGCACATAGAGGAGGTCATGGGAAAGGTGGACCTGGGGAGATGGAGCCGTTGGAGGAGGATCCCGAGGAGGACCCTTCTGAGGTTGTAAGATCGACTAGTTTGATTCACTGATATTAGTGATCTCCCGACTTTGACTTTTGCTAAGGACTTACTAGGGGTGATTCTCGCCTTGAGGCCTTTTGTATTTTGTGCATGTACCCATGTATTTTGAGATACTTGGATTGTGACGCCCCCACTTCTCCCAAGGGCAAACCCAAGGGTATCGGCGGAACGCCTGCTCAGTTCTCGCCAGGACTCGATACAATTCCAATTCAAACTTAAAGAATAATAACCAAATAATAAAAGTTGAACTGAAAAACAAAGTCGCTTCCATACACCAGTGTTCAATCTTACATCACAAGTTCTCAAAATACATCACTTTACCCAAAAGTACAATCACTCGAAGTCGGCTAATCAAATACAACCCAAAATACTAATAAAAAATAATCAAACCGGCTTCTCCAAAATTCTTTCCATTTCAAACTCCTGTAAGGAAAACAAATCTAACGGGGTGAACGGGTGCTCGTGAGGCCAAGAAACACACATGCAAGCACGTAGTTCAAGTAGTCACAACAATTATACAGTAAGAGAAGCTATAGAGTTCGAGTAATTAACATTTCAAGTAGGAAAAGTAAACAGAAGCAATTCAAGGATACTGTAACTCTCAAGATTTAAATTCCACGTAGTCGAGTCAACATCTTGATCAACTTCCATGTTGACACTCTGTCAACCACATAAGTAACAAATCCGTAGAATCACCACTTACTTCATAACCCGTCTTCTTTACACCCCCTTACCGGGCCCGATCGTCAAGGGTTTGATATTACTCGAGTATATCATGGCAATACTGCGCGAGTATGCCAAGCAAGATCTCTCCAATAGATCAAGTTTCGTGTTTGCTCATGGTTTACTAGGCTCCTCGACCAAGCCCATGCTGGCTCGATTCGCAGAGTTAGCCGATGAGTTTGGGTGTCCCTCGAGTACGAGTATAAGTCGAGGAGGTTCACTCCGCTTGACAACACAACAACGAGTACAAGTATATTTTCAAGTATGAACAAGTCAAGTAGCGAGTCGAGTAAAACGAGTAACGAGTCGAGTAAATTAAGTAACACGTCAAGTAAAGAGAGCGAGTGCGATAAAGTACACACTCGTCTCGACAAGTCACATCCACGTATTCAATTAGATGCATTTCAAGTATT